TTGGCTGGGGGCCATTTTGGCGGGATGCGAGGAAGCACCCTGCTCAGATTGCAATCAAGTGGAGAACATGCCGTCCTGTAATTATGCAGTTGTGCATGGTGCAGTGCAGAGTCCTGCAATTCAAACTGCAGCTGCAATTCATATCACAAGCAAAATGAGTATATTTCTGAAGGGGAAACAGTGACACATAAGCCCTGTCTTAACTATGGCTAATTCCACTTGTCTTGCCTATAATTTACTCCCCTGGCAATCACTGCCCCATCTGTGAGGTCTTCAGCAAGAGGAAAACCTCATATCGAGGACCTCAGAAGAGCAATGTGGGGACACATTGTGATGCTCAAGAAACTTGCTTCCATGCTGAATGGCAGTTTTGTAACAGGTTCAGATTTTCGATGGTCTGTATCACATTCAGCAGCAGCATTCCATGTGCAAGATAAAGCCTTTTAACTCAGCTTTCTCACTTGTTTCCAGAAATTTTCACTTGTGGCAAGTACTAGGAGAGGGAGATGCTGCTTCCCTGCAGGGGCAGGTGATACCTGCTAGTTTAGGACGGTTTCCATTAGCATACTGGGCCAGGAAAATGTCAAACTAGGAAGGAGAAGAGGAATGGCCTCAGATGCACTCGCTGAACTACTCCGGTAGGAAAAGCATTTACTTCATTCAGTTGCTTGTCACAGCTTTTTTGTGTTGGTGCCATACACAAATATGCACTCAGAGCCAATTTTTGCACACCCTTGCAGTCCCTTTGCCTTGGGTACAGGAACCTGGACCTGCTGTCGGTGTGCAATGCAAATAAACAGGGTTTAATCCAAGAACTTTTTACTGTTTTGTAAGTTTGCAAAGAGCTTCACATGAAAGCCTACATTGTTTTGAAGTGCTAGACATTTTCCTGCTCTAAAGTTTCTAACAGGGAACTTCTGCTTGGTTTTGGATTCAGGTCTTGTCGGTTCCTTGGCTGCCAAAATGACTTTTGTGAGGCAGATAAAACTTGGAATAAATCTGGTTCAACCTTTGCAGCCAGCTCCTACGCCTAAGAAGTTTCTGAAACAAAACCCAGAGTCTCTGCGGGAAGAAAAAAAAAAAAAAAATCCACCTCCACTTTCGATTGCGGTTCGGTTCTCAGCCGGGTTTTATGGTTTGGTCTTGTCGCTGCCCTAAAATCGGTCAGTGAAACCGCCTTTTGCGCTGGCCATCGCTTTAATCCTTTTTCCCTTTAGAGGTGCGAGCCCCTCGCAGCGCGGGCAGGGCGTGCGCGTCGCTAACAAAAGAGCGAGCGGTGGCCGGGGCTGGCCGGGAGCCGCTCCGGCGGGCACACCCGTCATTCCTCCATCCGTCCCGGCACGGGGCGTCCGCGTGTGCCGCTGGGAAAATTACCTGCGTAGCATGGCAGAGAAGAAAAAGAAATAAAAAGACAAAGGCGAGCTAATGCCCGGGGTGCTAACTTTCTCTGAAAGCCCTGTTCATCCCCCCCCCCCCACCCACCCCGGCCCCTCTCCCCGGTCCCCGCTGGCCGCGCTCCGGCGGTGACTCCGAGCGGGCCGCTCGACGCGGCAGGAGCGGGCCGCCTTGCGGGGCTGGCGGGCGGCGGAGCGGCGGCGCTGCCCCGGGGGCGGAGGGGAAGGGGAAGGCGGCGGCAGGGCTCCCGGGAGCCGCCGTTCCCCGGCGCCCGCCCGCTCCCCGCCCGGCGCAGTCCCGCCGCCGCTGCCGCCGCAACCGTGAGCGGCGAGGGACCCCTGGCGGCCGCCGCCCGCCCCGCGCCGCCGCTCCGCTGCCCCCGCCCCGCCACCTCCGCCCGCCCCGCTCCGCCCCGGGGTCCGGGCAGCAGCCGGGGCAGTCGGGGGTCATCCCTGCGCGGCGGGATTCGGGGCGTCGGCGGCCCTGTGAGGCGGGAAGGAGCCCTCGCGTCCCCCTGCGACGGGGCGCAGGTTCCCCCCCCCCGCCCTCGCGTTGGGCCCTTCGCCCTCGACGGGAAACGTCAAACAAAAATAAATAAGCGTGAGCGGGCGTTGGCGTTGGTGTCAGTCCCCGGGGATGTCTCTCCCAGCCTCGCAGAGCCGAACCCTCAGCGCCGCCCTCGGGCGAGGGGCAGCCTGGGCCGTTCCCCCCCGGGCTGCGCGTCCACACCCAGCTCCTTCCGGGGGGCGCGGAGGGCGTAGGGGATGCGCATTCCTGAGCCGCGCCGCGCCTTGCCCTGGAGGGGCGGCGGGAGAGTTTGTGCTTGGGCGACCTCCGGCACTTTGCAAAACTTTTAAGACTCAGCCCATGCCCAGAAATACAAAATACAAAAAATACAAAGCGTATGTGCAAGTACAAATAAATATTTAATAAAAATAAATACTATACATAAATATTAAACAGACTTTTGTATGGGAGCAGCTCTGGAGGCCTCTTGGCTTTTTCCTCTGCACTTTTAGCATCTTGTGTGGTCATGGGCTTCCCTATCCACACATCTGTCTCTGCCCCTGCTCCCTGCTGCATCTCCCTCCCTGGCCTTGTATCCTTTGAGGAAAACCCAAAAGTGTCCTTAAAGAGTAGAAAGGTTGCATTTGTGTAACTGCACATGAATTGCAGAGATGATGCTGCGGCAACCACCCCACTCCCTCTCTCTGGCACATGGCTCACTCCATCTTGCAGGCACAAGCACCTCACTTTTCCCAAAACTCAGCCCAAGACTCGGCCACAGCTGTCCTCGGCTTGGGGGTTGATACCACCTTCACACTGAGCCTCCACCAGTGAGTAGCCACAACTTATCAGGAATGGTCAATGGCATTGCGTTTGTCAGCTTCAGAAATGAGAAGATGGAGGGAGGACATGGCAATGAGGAAAGAAAGAGGCAGTTTTTCATTCTGGCTGGAAGCAGAGAGGGGAGCGCCACTCACAGACGTCTGCAAAAGAGGGTATCACTGGGAGAGTTGCTGCTTCTTGGCTCAGCAAGCAGGCATTTACTGTGTTCACCCTTTTTCTCAGAAAGGGCTTTTTTTTGAACCTTTTGACCTGGGAAGCAAATGTGCTGGTGCTCTTTGTGCATGTTTCCCTGCCTTCCACAAGGATTAGCAGCAGTGTTTGGACACCCACACACCTATGGACAGCACCTGAGTGAACGAGGTTTACTAGTTGTCTGGGGGGGCCACAAAGTGTGTGCATTTTCAGATTTGGGAGTCCAAGGAAAGCAGTGGCCTGGCCCAAGTCCCCAGTTGCCTCAGCAAAATAGACATCAGAGCTGCAGAACCAGCAACAACCACAATGCCAGAGCCAGAGCCACTGTACAGGCCGATGCTCAGCATCCCGAGCCTCAGGGCTCTGGCATTCAGCATCCTTTGAGCAGGAACCATCCCACTGCCCCTTCTACTCTCCCCACAGTCTAGAACTGGCCTCTACTCCCTCTACCCAAAATCATTGCCCCTTGTTCTCAGCCTGCAGGCAGCCAATGTTTGCCCTCCAAGGAAACCATCCACAAGCAGCTGTTGAGTACACAGTGACAGCACCACACCTATTTCTGGGTGTTTATGCACTCTTTTACTGCTCTTGTCCTTCCCCTGCTGAAACACTCAACACTTCAATAAAGCTATTTATGATTCCTGCTCTTTGTCTCCTCTTGTTTGAGCTCCCAGATTCAGATGCCGATGTACAAATACATGGATAATGTTGTATTCGTTGTTTTGTGCGAAAGAGAACAAGAAAAATTCACCTACAATACAAAGTGGCATCAATTTGTTTTCCCACCATACAAGGTAATGTCTGTCTTGCCCTGCGTTTTTTCTTGGAAGCCTGGATGGATGACACGGGAGCTTGTCAGATTGAGACAGAGGAGGAAAAAAAGCAGGTGAAAATTGATTTGCAAGGAAGTTACTTAATCATATTTTTGTACTTTTGGTTGTGCCTTGAGCTTTTGTTTATATCTGCATATATTTGAGAGATGCTTGAGGCACATGACAGCCCTGTTGATGCATCAATTAAGGGCCACAATGACAAGTGCCATGCTCTCTGAGATGCCCAATGAGCTCTCCAAGACAAGAATCAATGTTTCTGGAAAACAAACCTCAGAGGGAAAATAAATGTCTTGACCAGGATATCTTATTTCATTTTACCTAGAAAAATAAAAAAACGCTTTGTCCTAGCAGCTATACATCATGAGCAATGAAACAAGTGTGTCCTTTTATTTCTTTCCACAGAAAGTTTCTTCCAAAACAAGCAAAGAAGAGCTGAAAGAACTGAGTATAGAGGAGGAGAAGCAGAGCTGTGCATGCCAATGCCATTGCACTCCAACCAATCTTCCCACAATTATACAGAAAGATGCAGACATGCACACATGGCCACCTCTGAGCCAAGTACATCCTGAGTTATGCAGAGCCCCTGTGTCCTCCCTGCCATGGAAGTTGTGCTAGACCCACAGTGCTCATAGCCTGGAAGACATCATCTTAAACACAAGGCAGTGTGATGCCCTCTGGGACTGAAAGCTGCTGGAGGCTCTTTGGGGATGGGGATATGTCAGCTGTCCTGAGATAACGTCCACCAGTTCCTATGAGGTGGTCTCCCAGGATCAGCAGCAGACAGGCAGGGGGACCATGTGCAGGGACAGGCTTGTGGTGAGGCCTGTAGGCCATTCCCAAATCAACAGTGCCAAAAACTGTGAGGCCCCATCAGCTGAGTTGTGGAGGAGGCAAAAGCAAGGAGGCAGAAGTACAGGAGAGGTATGGAATCCAGGAGAGGAGGAAACAGCTGAGGGTACTGCAAGAGAATGCAACTAAGACATGATCTCTACAGTGACATCATGACCCAAGAAGTTTGCATGGGAGACTGAGTGACCTGGGAGAAGAAAATAAGTCACTCAAGGGCTGATCCATGCAAAGTCACCAATGCTGGCTCCATCCCTGAGCTGCCAGGGAACGTGCATAAGGGAAGCATTGCAAGGTAGCTGCTTGCCACCTGTCTCTCAGTATTGGAGAGACAGGCTGGAGAGCTGTGTGGACCACTCTGCTCCAGCACAGCTAGGTATCACACCACCTTACAAACGCCAGGACCAGGGTCAGGAGGAGCAGGGAAACGCTATTGCTGGAGACGAACAGAGCCAGACTGCAGGGGAGATGGCAGTGGGTGAGGTTCAGCTTGCATCGTGAGGGAGTGCTGGGCTTCTCGTTAGCTCCACGTTTTCCTTTCCTCTCCCTGCTGGTGTGAGAAAACGCACGCTGCATTTGTTCGGCTGCCAGGAATATGGCAGCTCAAGCACCATCTTGTTAGCTTTGCTGTGTGTCTTTTCCCACAGCATTGCTTTAAATAATGAAGGGAGTCATGATCCACCAGCTGGATTAGACGTTATGAACTTATCTGGCTCAAATCCAATGGTGATATATTTGGCCTCATTATTTTATGCACAAATGCCACAAAACAGCACAAGATTTTTTTTTTCTTTTCCTAAATACTCTTTTTCTTTTAGCACTGACATTTCTCTTATTTGCATTAAGATTTGCAATGAACAGTCTGTGCCAGACCAAATTTGTCAGATACTTCTGCTTTTATGGCTGGTTTGTTCCAGGAAATCAGGGTTGGAATTGTATCCCCTGACCTCAGGGATGGGCCAACGAGTGCTCCCAGGGTGGGGAACATCTTCTCGCCTTCAGGGAACGGCTGTGTGAGGAAATGGGGGAACTGGTGCCTTGGCCAGGACATCAGTTCAGGAAAATTGAAATTGAGTTCCTCATGTGTTGTGGCTTTTAGCAAGCATCTGAGCTGTAGTTTCCCTAGCTGTATGGGGAATATGATAACATTCAGCCTGCTTTATAAAGTACTCAGAGGCTTACAAGACTTTTATTAAATGAAGATCTAGATGGAAGTGATGGGAAGTGCTGTTACATGAACTTCACTTATGCTCTTGCTATTTCCAGTGCAGGTACCCAACAGTATGCATGCAGAGTGATAGATGCAATGGGGCAGGGAAGCAGACACACTTGTTGTGGAGTGCAAGATTTCCCCCTGAGGGGGAATCAGCCTCCCTGTCACTTGGGAGACAGAGACAGGGAAAGTTTTGCACAGGAGGACAGAAAACTGCCTGCAAAAGCCAGAGATACAAGAAGATCAGAGGTCAGGGATGGATAAGAAATGCTTTGAGCATAGAAAGATTAGAGGGCAAAAGCCTTCACTGTGGATACTTTGATCTTGCAGCAGTACAGATCCTACAGAGTTTGGCCCTACCTAAAAAGCATGAAATTGCCTCAGACCAGGGTCTCGTGTCCTTTGCTATTCCAGCAAAGTAAAATAAAAAATTCACAAAGAGATGTGAGCCACCTGGGATAGGAATGCCCATCAGCTTCTAAATTATGATTTCTTAGTGATTAAAGTGCAAGAAATGAGGGTGTTGTGTGGGATGCTTTACCTAGCCACCCTGGCATGATCACGGCTGTGTTACAATTCAATTCAGCCTTCAGGCAATGCACTCCTGCTCTGCTTCCGGAACCAGACAATGTCTGCTCTGAGTATTTCATCTGACAATCCAGAGAGAAAGGAAGATTAGAGAAGCAGAAACCTACAACATTTGGGGGGGGGGGGGGGAAGTCTTTTTCCCCCCATTTGTTTTCTGTTTCATATAGTGTTAGTTCAGTATGTGCCGTTGTGCTGAGTCTGCTATTTGAAGTAGTTTCTGCAAAGTCAAGACCAAGTTTGGGAGACTCTGGAAATAACGTAAACACACTGAATCTGAAAAGCAAAATCAGACTCTCCTCATTTTGTTTTTCATTAAGCAGAGAAAGGGAAGAGTGTGCTCCGTGTATTCAGCCATTCAAGTGCTATGTACTCGGATACCGTCTGGGTGAGCCGAAGCATTGCTCTGCAAATATTGACAGTCTCTTCATTCAAGCAAGAGCTCTCAGAGTCTAATTTTAAGTGCTCATTTTGTGTATTCCTCAATAAAAGTCAGGCAATTAGGGGAAGAACAAGCCTGAGTGTGGTTGGTGTCTTTTCCAGACATTTCTACCCTATGCCACGAAGCTCCTGCTCAACGATTCATCTGCATCATTGCTGTTGTCAAAGCTGAGTCTAATCCCCAACAGTTCAGCTCCTACATGGATGTTTAAATCTTTCATATGAATCCAATGATTTAAGGTGAATTTTAAAGGGTGAAGTTACAAGTGCATTCAAAAATTTTTAAATTTATTTTTGGCTAATATTTCAGTCTTTAGCAGACTCAGGGACATTTTACAGCCTCGTAAAAATGCCAGCAGGGATGAAGATTTCTTCTCGAGGCAGTAAGCACTGTTCCCAGGCACTTCACAAGCTGAAATGACAGGTTTGGATCTCCTGAATTCACAGTGGAAATATTCCCAGCTCTGGGACAATATGCAGTAACTATTTGATTGCCTACAGTTTAATAACATAACTCAGGGCAGGAAGGAGATACTGCCTCTTTCTTGCAATTTAGTCAGGAAGTAGGATTTAGAAAACTGGAGTGTATTTCCACCTGCGCACACACCCACACCCACGCAGACCCCTCCTTGAATGTGCTCAGGATGTGGGTGTTAGTCCTGCAAAAAGCACCACTGGATGTTTAATGGCCACAGGTGGCTGGGATTTTAACTACACATCATTTTCAGACAGTTCAATAAAAGAAAGGCTATTGAGCTTTCTCTGCTGGGACAGTCCCTAATCCCATGGCTCCTGATGTAAATCGCAGGCCATCTGTGCATTAAGATGGCCCTCTCTCTTTTCCTGGGTTACAGAAATGAGATACAATAATTGGATCCTTCGAGCTGAAAGGACATAGGGCTAGTGCTTACTCCTTAATGCAATTATATGAGGCGAAAGGCAGAGGTTTCAGCAGCATTTTAAAACCGCCAGATAATCAATACAGAGGCCAAGTAGGAGTGGTGGGGTTTCCAGCTAAACAGATAAGGTGTCGCATCACGTTTGACCTATTTCCCAGCATAAGCATCACTTCTGCCCCAGTTGTCTTTTAAAAGATATCAGTGGATACTGCTACCACTGCAGAACAAGAGGTAAACATCACAGTCTTCCAACAAGGTGTTAAATGGGCTCCATCAAAGGTTAAATTAGCAACCCCCAGTGCAATTCTTTTGTAATATTTCTTTAACATTGAAAACAAAAATGAATGGCCCAATGGTTCAGAGCAGGCTTGTGGCTTTCACGTACCCATAGGTACACCCGGCCAGCATCAAGTGTATGTAGGTCCTTGTCAGGCAGCCTCATCCCTGAGGTAGAATGGGGCAGCATCTCCCATTCCCACCTTCCTGCAGTCACTACGGGCTGACTATTGCCAAATTCAGGACCCTACCAACCTGCCAAGCTGGAGCAGGCAGGCAAAGTAGGCAGGCACAACAATGCAGGAGTGCAATCATCCTAGTTCATCCTGTAAAATGAGTCCATGTTACTGGAAAAACAGAGCTGTGCTCATCAGCAGGTATTTGTGTGTCAAGGATCCTGCCCCAAAGAGATGTGTTGGCTCACAAGCCTCCTGCCCCATCACCTGTAGAAAGTCAGTCCCAAATGCCATCACATGCCACAAGACTCATGCCAGTATCCTGCGAGTGTTGTATTGGAGGTATTAGGCCACTAGGTTAACGAAGGGGTAGGCACTGAGGAACTGGTCTGGGTGTATCTGGGGAGAAGGCAAAAGCAGCCATAAGGACACTTTTCCAGGCTGTCCCAGTACCTGAATGGCTGGCACTCTATGACTGCCCCCAGATTTTTTATGTTTCAGTGTACAGAAATACACAGATGATAGATGGTTCTTGTTCCCAGTGAGGGCACAGATGAAATCTGGGTGAAATCCAAGTGCATGCAAAAGCAGGGCCATCCCTGACAAGGCACAATGTGCTTTTCACCACTGCAACTCCATGCACAAATAATTTCCTCCTCAGCAAGTTGATCTTACACTGTGCTTCCAGGATCCCTTGTTGCAGGGCAAAGTTAAGGCCTCAGCCAAGATATTTAGAAATGAAGGCAGCAATTTGTATCCCTCCTTTAACATGCAGAGCCAGTACCTCGCATGCTAGGTTGAAACATGAATGACATGGTTTAGATCCTTATCTGTCATTTAGTGGACTCTGCTCCCTGTGCTACTGGCCAGGAACAAGGACATTTTGGATATATGCAGTTTCAGTTCTACACCAGATTCATAGCTAGCAGGGCTGGAAGTGCCTCAAGAGGACTGAAGAGTGGTGAAGATGGGAGGAGAGAGCTCCACCTGCTTTCGAGTTTGTGCACCTCTCCATCATCTTCTCCCATGCTGACTGGGCACTGCCATTCACTATCTCTCAGTTCAGCTCAGTACATTTCTGATGTCCCCTAAACTCCTCGAGTGTGGGGGCTTGGGTTGAGTCTTGTGCTCAGGACATGCATCCCCTTGTCGATTTCAAAGTACACAAATGAGTTTCAGTCCCTGGATGGAGATGCTCATGGGAAAATCAGATTCAGTTTGAAATTAATTACAAATAGGTACTGCCAGGCAGATGAATGTCTGAAGCTTGGATCCCTGCAACCACATGTCCTGCTCCCAGATTACCTCACATCTAATGTGCTCTCTTTAGCAATTTCTCCATTTTGTGCTGCAGAAGGCAGAGATCTGCGGCTTCAGTGCTTGTAAATCCCCTTTTCCTCATGGCACCTGGCTAACACTGCTCCTGAGCTCCTGCAGGTCTGAGTTTGTGTTTTCTTCTCAGGTGCTTGTTTAGACAAAGGAACTGAACTGCAGAGACCGAACATCTTTGAGAACATCACCAAGCTGGCCAGAAAGTTTGGGAGTCATCTGGAGGGAGCTAACAGAATGATTGCCTAGCCCTTGTTTCTACATGAAACAAGATTAAAGAAAAGCCCCACAGACCCAAATTTATAGATGCCTCTTTCAGCCTTAGTAGTGTCCTTTGCCTATAATCCCCAATACAGCCAGTTGGTGCTCTCGCCCTTCCTCTTTCCTCCTCACAAAAGTGTGCCAGACACCAAGACCTCACTCTCTGACCTCTGTCTCTTGGCACTGAAATAGTCTCAGTATTTAGACTTCCTTCCCAGCCATCGTGTGTCCCCAAGGGGGACCATAGTCTTATTTTACAGTTACAGAATAATTTGATCTGGTTTTCAAGTTGCTTCCAGTTCCTGGGTGCTTTCCCCTTGCTGCCACAAACGGAAAGCCAGACAGGTTTCTCTGAGGTGAGAGCTGACTTCTTGCACCCTTTGTTTGCTCCTGCTTCTGCCTCACTGATCCCCCTCCAGCATGGAGCTACTATCCTAGCGTCTTTCCTTTCTGTGATAAGAGCAGCATATGTCTGGATCATATATCTGGATCAAAAATCCAAGTTGTATCTTTATGAATCGCCAAGAAAAGAATACTCCTTGATCCAACCCATGTGTTGCTTCTCCCCCCTGGTGCCAGAGCATATGATTTGAACAAGGCACCCAGCTTACCTCTTCTGGGGAGAGCTCTGCACAAAGTTACACTCGTGCACAAGAGCTTAGAGCCGTGCAGCGCTGTTCCTCTTCCTCTCTTTAAATGTTAGATCCAGGCCGTCACTCTCCTTCACTTTTTTGACTATTGCAGGTCAGCCCGTCTTGCAGTGGTGGGGGCTTGTCCCCGGCGTTAGGGGAGGGGGAGGCAGCAGCATCTCCAGGTGTGCCTGGATGACATTTGGTGCAGAGCTGTGGGACCGGGACCGTTCTGCCTCTGGGTGAGCCTCTAAGAGCAGTTTTCCCAGAGCCGCTGTTTGTGTTAAACCACTTACTCTGTTATCTTCCAGAGGGAAATTATTTTATTTTTTCCACAGATGAAGAACATTAATGCCATTAAAATAATAAGAGATTTAGAGCATCCCTTTGTTTATACAGTGACATGCCACAGTGACAGGCACAATGTAAATAGCTAAACACTGAGATAACCAAACACTTAGACTGATGTAAAAACCCCAGCATTTTTCCCATTCCAAATTCTTTAGAGTAATCTGATTTGACTTCCAGCACAATGCATACTTTAATGATGCCTGAATAATGACTAGGCAAGGAATTAACTCCCACAGTGGGTTAATGCACTCACTTTCACCCAGAAGACCTAGGCTCAAATCCCAAATAAATCAAATGGATTTGGTGATCTCATTCCAATTCCTCATGGTCCTTTGTTCACACTCTGCAATTTGATAGAGCCGGCGGCCCCTGCCTGCCTCCTGCAGAGAGGGGCCAGCCTTTGGGGAACAGAGATGGTGTGGGCTGGGGGTGGGGGGAGCATAGCAAAAACCAGCATGTCCCTCTAATCCAGGGATCTCAGCTGCTGAAACAACAGGGGTAGGGTAGGGAGGGCTTTCACAGATCGACAGCGTTGCCACACCACCTCCTGGGTGTTGGACATTCACTGCTGTCAAACACCTTGATGTCAAAAAAAAGCATTTTTAACTGCATGACAGATGCTCGAATATAAACTGCCTAAGTGTGACCAACCGCAGGTTTGTCTCTCCAGGTTTATGCGCAGGAGAGCAAACATAATTCACTTGGCCTCTGGCAGGGTCGAGGGAGGTCTTCAGTAGGTGACTGTGCTGACAGCATTTATGCGTCCTATGAAGGTGGTAGTGCCAGCAGGGTGGGATGAAACCATGCACCTATCAAACAGGGAACATGGAGAAAAAATCTTCTTTCTGCTGTCTGATATTTTCTGCATTACTTTTGTGATCGTTGCTAGGGTCACTTGGATGACAATGGGAACCTTTGAGTGGCATTTCCAAATCCTGTTACTGAAAGCTAGACTCCTGGCACCCATATTGGAGCCTGCAGATTACACTGGTGAAAGCTGAAGTTCTCCACAGCTATGAAAATTACATCTCTCCTGCCTCGGTGCACCACTTTGGTTAAAAAAATTGAAAGGCTTCTTTGTCTTCTTCTATTGTTTTTTATTTAATTTCTTCTGCTAAGACTGTACCGAAATCACAACCACTAAC